TGGTGGCACATGCAAGCAATCCCAGCTACTTGGGAGGCTGAGGTAGGATAATCGCTTGAACCCAGGAGGTGGAGGTTGCAGTGAGCCAAGATTGTGCCACTGCACTGCAGTCTGGGCAACAGAGCAAGACTCTGTCTCAAAACAAAACAAAACAAAACAAGACAAGACAATTGACCATAAATGTGAGGGTTTATCTTTGAGATTTCAATTCTGTACCATTGGTCTATATGTCTGCCCTTATGCCAGTACCACATCAACTGTTAACTGCAGCTATGCACTAAGTTTTGAATCAGGAATTGTGAGTCCTCCAAACTTTGTTCTTTTTCAAGACTGTTCTGGGTCCTTTGATTTTCCACATGAATTACAGGATCAGTCTGTGATTTTGCCAAAAAGGGAGTTAGGATTCTGATAGGAATTACACTAAATCTGTAAATCAATCTGGGGAGTACTGATGTCTTAACATCTTCCAATCCATAAACACAGGACATTTTTCCATTTATTTAGGTCTTTCTTAATTTTTTTCAACAGCGTTTCATGGTTTTCAGTGTAGAAGTCTTACATCATCTCCTTTTTTTTTTTTTTTTTTTTGAGATGGAGTTTCACTCTTATTACCCAGGCTGGAGTGCAATGGCGCGATCTCGGCTCACCGCAATCTCCCCCTCCTGGGTTCAGGCAATTCTCTTGCCTCAGCCTCCTGAGTAGCTGGGATTACAGGCACGTGCCACCATGCCCAGCTAATTTTTTGTATTTTTTAGTACAGACGGGGTTTCACCATGTTGACCAGGATGGTCTCACTCTCTTGACCTCGTGATCCACCTGCCTCTGCCTCCCACAAGTGCTGGGATTACAGGCTTGAGCCACTGCGCCCGGCTTCACCTCCTTTGTTAAGTTTATTCCTGGGTATTTTATTCTTTTGGGCACTACTGGAAATAAAACTGTTTTCTTGATTTTACTTTGGGACTGTTCATTGTTTGTGTATAGAAATATGATTGATTTTTGATGTTCTACTATAAAGGACACATGCACACGAATGGTCATTGCAGCACTGTTTACGATAGCAAAGACCTGGATCCAACCCAAATGCTCATCAATGATAGACTGGACACGGAAAATGTGGCACATATACACCACATAATATTATGCAGCCATAAAAAACGATGAGTTCATGTCCTTAGTAGGGGCATGGATGAACCTGGAAACCATCATTCTCAGCAAACTGACACAAGAGCAGAAAATCAAACACCGCATGTTCTCACTCATAGGCGGGTGTTGAACAATGAGAACACATGGACACAGGGAGAGGAGCACTACACACTGGGGCTGTTGGGGGGAATAGGGGAGGGACAGTTGGGGGTGGGGAGTTGGGGAGAGAGAGCATGGGGAGAAATGCCAGATATAGGTGAAGGGGAGGAAGGCAGCAAATCACACCGCCACATGTATACCTATGCAACTGTCTTGCAAGTTCTTCAAATGTACCCCAAAACCTTAAATGCAATTAAAAAAAAGAAATGATTTTTTGTATAACGATCTTGTATCCTGCAACCCTGCCACCCTTGTTTATTTGTTCTCATAGTTTTTAAGTGGTTTCTTAGGATTCTGTACATAGAAGATCACGTCATCTGCAAAGAGTTTTACTTTTTTCTTTCCAGTCTGGGAGTCTTTTATTTTTCTTTCCTTATTTCCCTGGTCTCTACCCTCTTAAAGCCTATATAGTTTCTTGAGTGACTTCCTTCTTTTTCCCTCATTAGAATAAGTTTTCTGGGGAAAGGAGACAGAGCATAGGTAGGGAGAAAGTGGAGCTCTTAAACATGTGTACTTTGAATTCATTTCAAATGGCTTCATACTTTCTCAGTGGAAATGTCTTCCTTCACAGCACCTGGGCCTAGGGATTTTCTGGAGGAATCTTTGAAATCTGTTTTGGACACAAGCCTAGCTGAGCTCAACATCCACCCTTCCTCGGCAAGTGCGGTAGTCTAAGATGACATGGTCACTTTCCCCAGCACCCATTTCCCTTCCTTCTCTGGCCAATTCTTCATTGCTGGTCAAAGGTAGAAGAGCCAAGAGCAGTAAGAGACGCTTCCCAGCATGTCAGCACAGGTTCTGTCACCAGTGACCTCTTGGAACGTGCAGGAAGCCAGGGAGACAAGAATCTATGGCTATGTAGATTAAGTGCACCCCACAGCCAAGTATGAGCTTCTAGTGCCCAACTGCTAGAAGCAAACAACCCAGACCACTAATCAGGCTCTAACCAAGGCAGGATCCAGGATGGTGAGCACCCTGGGCCAACCCTTCCGCTCAAGATGAATCCACGGTTCATTTTGAGTGGGGGTAATATTTAATTCCAAGTGCACAAGTCTCCAGAGTAGTTGCCCTTTCATTTGGGGATTTCCTCCCGGGTGCTAAATCACTTCCTCCTAGCTTCAATCTGAAAAGCAATTCAGGTCTCCTGTGGCCTCACCAAGCTTCCTGCCCACACTGATTTTCTTCTAACCTCATGGGTCTACTTGTGTACATCACTTAACAACAAAGCCACTTAGCTGGTTGAAGGCCTCAAGAACAAATGACTTCCTCATAAGGTGATTTCTCCCTCACCCTAGGGTGGCCCATGGCTCCAGCACCTACTGAGAAGTGACCAGTTTGGATGAGGTAGCTGCCAGGAGTCAAACCGCAGAACCCTTCATAAAACCATGCTTAGTTACTCCACAAATTTCTCCAAATAATAAAACAGAGAGAAGAGTGAGAATACAATGAAAGAGAAATCTGGAAAAATACAAAAGATAAATTCATGTTCCTGTGAGTTGATAATCAGGCTGGCTAGCTGTCTAGTCTATGGGGGCAGAAAGGGGGCTGCCTTAACTTCTGGTAGGCACAGCATCTTTTTCTCTCTCTCTCTCTCTCTCTTTTTTTTTTTTTTTAAATACTTTAAGTTCTGGGGTACATACGCAGATCATGTGGGATTGTTACATAGGTATACACATGCCAAGGTGGTTTGCTGCATCCATCCCCCTGTCATTTACATTAGGTATTTCTCCTAATGTTATTCCTCTTCAATCCCCCCACCCCCTGCTATCACTCCCCTAGTCCCCCCCACCCCCCAACAGGCCCTGGTATGTGATGTTCCCCTCCTTGTGACCATGTGTTCTAATCATTCAACACCCACTTATGAGTGAGAACAGGCAGTGTTTGGTTTTCTGTTCTTGGGTCAGTTTACAGAGAATGATGGTTTCTAGCTTCATCCGTTTCCCTGCAAAGGACATGAATGCATCCTTCTTTATGGCTGCATAGTATTCCATGGCGTATATGTGCCACGTTTTCTTTATCCAGTCTATCACTGAAGGGCATTTGGGTTGGTTCCAAGTCTTTGCTATTGTAAACAGTGGCACAGTGTTTTGAAGGGGCTACCTCCCTGATGACACCTGGGTACGACAAGGACCTCACGGCAGACAAACAGGAGGAAATGCCGAGGGTGTGGGAACATGCCACCTCTAAATTCCAAAAATACACACCCTTCTTGTATGTTTCAACAATACCGCTTCCCATCTGTGTACTACTTGGCCATTTATTATCCCAAGTACCTAAAAACTAGTCAGTATTACCGAGACCTTAAGTGTGGCACCTGTTTGTCATCTTTCAAGGTACCAGTTACCGTAATACAGATATGGTTCATTTTGAGTGTCTGGGTGATATATTTACTTCTATTTTTGTCTTGTTCATAAGCACCAAATAAAGCAATTTTGAAATTCCTTTCTTCGGTCTTCCTTCACACTCAATTAATTTATTGTCTAGACTCTAGAACAACATTTCAACACACAGTATGTTTGCTTTGCAGAATTCATTTACCACGTAGCTGGAGGCCTGGATTTAACATATTTCCTGTAGTGACAACTACTCTATTTGTAGGAACTATTTAGGTCACTGGAGTGGAGAAAAAGAGGTCGCTACTTAACAGAAATGGCATGTATCCAAATATAGGATGCAGTATTCTGAACACCTGTTGAACATCAAATGATGAAGAGATTGTTACAATTTCCAAAACCCTGGACCAAAATCTTAAATGATTAGCACTTTGTTTCAACTGATACATGGTTTAAGTCAGAAAAACAAGTCTTCTTACCAAAAAAAAAGTGAACCTAACTCTGCTGGCTGCTTTAGAAATAAAACAGGTGATTAACAAAGCAATCTGTTTTTGTGTAAATTATTTCCCAGCTAAAGTCACTTCAGATGAAACTATATGATTTGAACCACAGGGCACGTACAGTGATCGTGTGCTTTTGGAAACACGCTAAGCATGACAAATATTTTCAGTTGTCAAGGGTGAGCGAGGAGGGAATGACCCACCTAAGAAATGGAAACTAACAAATGGTAATATGACACTCCCCCTTAGTTCCACGGGCTGGTGCGGCTGCTACATGCTGCAGTTCACTTCCTACTAAATGCTGTGCATGAGCTGAAGGAAGGCGGCCTCTTCATCCCCTCCCCAGAACACTGTGGGGTGGCACGTAAAGACCTCAAGGGAAGGCGGCCTGGGCGATGCCCTCTCCTGCTGCCATTCATTTGTTCACTAAATAAGTTATGTGCAGGGCACTGTGCTGGGAGCTTACTCTCCAACTAGGACTCCGTAGCCACTCGGATATCCCACGCCTCTGCCCCTATTTGCATCCCTAGGTGTCACTCCCGTGTCCAGAGGATGCTGATTCTGGCTCGCGCCCCTCCCTCCCTTGGGGCCTCCGGCCAGGGCGACGGGACAAGGCCGGCAGGAGCAAAGCCTTCCGAACCGCAATGAAAGAGAGCTCCGAGTGCGCAGGGCGCGGGTTCACGAGACCCTCTGGCGCCCGAGGCCGGCCAGCCGGGGCGGGGCCGAGGGCACCGGGCGTCGCGCTCAGGGAGGGGTCCCCGAGGTCGCGCCTGCCGGGAGGGGCAGCGGCGGGAGGCGGCAGCCCGCGGCGCACACGTGGGGAAGGCGGCGCCGGGCGGGGGCCGGGCGAGGGGCGGCGGCGTACCTGATGAAGGTGGTCTTGCCGGTGCTGTACTGGCCCACCAGCAGGATCATGGGCTTGTTCTCGAAGTCGGCGTCCTCCAGCGCGGGCGAGTGGAACTCGTGGAAGCGGTACGCCTCCTCCAGCGGCAGCACCTTGCGCAGGTAGAGCGAGCGCAGCCCGCCCGTCACCGTCTGCACCGCGTCCGCGCCTCCGGCGCGCTCGCGCCCGCCAGCCTGCCGCCCCAACCAGCTGAACATCCTGCCGCCAGTCCACGCTCGGCTGGGACCCTGCTCCGGGTTCGACCCTCCCCGGCTCGCACAGAGTCGCTCCGGCCGCGCGAGCCGCCGCCCGAGCCCGGCCCCGCCTCGCGCTGCCACAGCCAATCCTCGGCCGCTACGTCACGTGCGCTCGCTCACTATTCAGAGGAGTTCTCTCAGGTCCTTCCTGATTGGACCTCTGCCAGACAGGGGTGGAAGCGTCAGCCAATGGAGAGGAGGTTCTTAATGAGTTACTGATGACGGGTCAGTCTAGAGGACTGGGAGGGGAGAGGGTGTCTCCCGGGCAGGGTGGCGCTGACTGGTCATGCCTAGGGCCCCCGTCTGGGCGCCGGGGCCCCATCTCTGGCCAGGTGGCATCGGCTTCCGGGTAAATCTGCACTGTCCAAAGAGAGCCTCGGGAGAATGCTCCATCTCCTGGAATGTTTACTCATTCAGGCCTCGGGACGTCGATACTGGGGATAAAAAGTTCAGAAAGTGGATGGGCAAGTTCTGTCTTCCCAGGGCGGGTCGTTATGACTCCATTTTACAGGCCAAGAGACCCAGGCTCATCGGCATAATTGACATAATCTTAAGAAGGGGAAGTGGACTGGAATCTATTTCAGAAGCTGTTTCTCCTGCTTCTCCACATTGCCCTCACTAAATTCTGGATTAACTAAAGGCCATTTCCCCTTAGTTTTCTTTATTTGATTTTCTGTATAGCCAAAAGTTTAGTCGTTACTCTCATTATTACATTATCGTCATGATTACAATCTTATTTCCACATATTGACATATGAGTTATTGTCACCGCCTAGCTGTTTCTTTTCTTTTCTTTCTTTCTTTTTTTTTTTTTCTCTTTTTGAGACGGAGTCTCGCACTGTCGCCCGGGCTGGAGTGCAGTGGTGCGATCTCGGCTCACTGCAACCTCCGCCTCCCGAGTTCAGGCGATTCTCCTGCCTCAGCCTCCCGAGTAGTTGGAACTACAGGTGCCCCCAACGACGCCCGGCTAATTTTTGTATTTTAGTAGAGATGGGGTTTTTCCATGTTGGCCAGGCTGGTCTTGAACTCTTGACCTCAGGTGATCCACTTGCCTCGGCCTCCCAAAGTGCTGGGATTACAGCGCGAGCCACCGCACCCAGTCTAGCTGTTTCTTTTCTAGGTTAAAAGGACACTCACTTATCTAAGATGAGATTGGGGCACATCTTTGTGCCCCAATAACTTTCTCAGTTATTTCAGAGCATTTCTTTTTTTTTTTTTTAAGGTATATACACATTTTATTCAAAAAAAGTTTACAGTTTTCATTATACACAACTATTAAGAGGTTATAGTCAGAGGAGGCATGTGTCCTGTTGACAGACGTGCCTACTAGATCATCACAATGCAAGGAAAAGGGTGGAAGGGAGGACACAGGGTGAGGAAAAGTAAGCAATAAAAAGCTTAGATTTCAGTTAGGGCTGGTAGTCCCTTTTATCTTTTCAAGTATCACACTGTTATGTACCAAATACAATCCATAAATAATGGCCACTTCTTCCCATGCCCACAGCCAAGATGCGTGTTTGGCTAAATTCAGAGCCCTGGCCCTTCCAAAGATGAATGGAAAACCTGCACACCAGAGGGCCAAACCCACTTCTCAAAGGGCTTCCTCCACTCATCTCACCCCTAAGGGAATCACTAGGAAGTTCAGGGGCCAGAGAAAGCATGAACGTGGATTCAGAAGTCCAAAGAAATGCAGTTCTTTGCGCCCAATCAGAGATATTTGATTTCATTCAACAAGGCTGGGAAGTTGATTTAAAAACCTTGCTAACTTTTGTAAATGGCTTTCACTTTTCTAATAGTCACTGAGACATATAAGGGCCACATGCCATTTAAAATCAAATGCTAGTTCCTAGAGATGGAGTGTCTAGAAACTTGACCTGTGGAGGCTGGACACCTTTGGTGTCCTCAGTTATAGCTTAGGAATATTTCTCAGTTATTTCAGAGCATTTCTTGGTGTGATCCATGGGGCTACCTGCATACCTGCATATATGGATTTATGACCTGGGATGCTTGTTAAAATGCAGATTCCTGGTCCCCAGTCCAGACCTAGTGAGTTTTAAAATATTGAGGAGACCACCGGGCGCGGTGGCTCACGCCTGTAATCCTAGCACTTTGGGAGGCCGAGGTGGGTGGATCACCTGAGGTCAGGAGTTCAAGACCAGCCTGGCCATCATGGTGAAACCTCATCTTTATTTTTTGTTTAAAAATATATTTTAAAAAATATTGAGGAGACTAGAGCTGAACAGATGCCCTAGGTGACTCTGATGTGCCCTGAATCTGGGGAAACAGTACACATTGCAGTATTTCTCCGACCTGACAAAAATACAGATTCTGATTCGGTAGGTATAGGATGGGGCCCATGACTCTGCATTTCTAACAGACTCTTGAGTATTGCCATTGCTACCTATCCATGGACCATATACCAAGGCTGTGGTGGAAAGAGAACAGGACTTGGCATCAAAAGATCTGGGTTTGAAGCTTGCCTAGGAAAATGAATGGCTATGTAACTTTCAATGTGATGAGTTACCTCTCTGTCCTAGCTTTCTTATGAGCAAAATGGAAACTCCTTTGGAGTTGTCCTGTGGGTCACATAGTTGGAGGGAATTGTATGTAACTAGGGAAGTGAAAAGAAAGCCAAGGAAAAATTAAGTTAGACATCTGCCTTGTGTCAAAATAGAACAAAGTTTGAAATGTAAAAATAAAATGAAACCAGTGCACTACTAGAAGAAAGTAGAAGAGATTTATACAGTTTTGGGGTGGAAAATTATGAAAGAAAAGGCTGACATATTTGACAACAAAAGTAAAATCTTCAATGTATTTTTAAAAAATACATGAAAGCAAACCAATATAAATACAATCTTACCATATGATGCAGAAATCAGCTCCTTGGTATTTACCCAAATGAGTTGAAAACTTATGTCCACACAAAAACCTGCACATGGATGTTTACAGTGGCTTTATTCATAGGTACCGAAAATTGGAAGCAACTAACATGTCCCTCAGTAAGTGAATGGGTAATCTGCGGTACATCCAAGCAATGGAATATTATTCAGCACTAAAAAGAAATGAGCGGGCTGGGTGAGGTGGCTCATGCCTGTAATCCTAACACTTTGGGAGGCCGAGGTGGGTAGATGATCACAAGGTCAGGAGTTCAAGACCAGCCTGACCAATATGATAAAACTCCCATCTCTACTAAAAATACAAAAATTAGCCAGGCATGGTGGCACCCACCTGTAGTCCCAGCTACAGGAGAATCAACTGAACCTGGGAGGCAGAGGTTGCAATGAGCCAAAATTGTGCCACTGCACTCCAGCCTGGGTGACAGAGCAAGACTCTATCTCAAAAAAAAAAAAAAAAAGAAAAGAAAGAAAGAAAAGAAATGAGCTATGAGCTATCAAGCCATAAAAAGACACAGAGGAAACTTAAACACATATTACTAAGTGAAGCCAATCCAAAAAGGCTATATACTGTACGATTTCATCTTTATGACATTCTGGAGAAGGCAAAATTATGGAAGCAGTAAAAAGGTTAGTAGTGTCTAGGTGTTAGGGAGAGGGAAGGAATGAATAGGCAGAGAACAGAGGATTTTTATGGCAGTGGCTCTACTTTGTATGGTACTATAATGATGGATACATGTCATTATATACTTGTCAAAACCCACAGAATGTACAACACTGAGAGTGAATGTGATAATGACTTGTGAATTTCAGATCAGTTTTAGGTTCACAGCAAAATGGAGCATAAAGTACAGAGAGTTCCTCCTGCCATCACACCCAGCCTACCCCACTATCAACATTCTGCACCAAGTGAACATCATTACAGTCAATAAACCTAACCTAAATTGACACATCATTAAATTAACTCAAAATGGAACTAGATATAAAACTAATATAAATGTAGAACTAATTGTAAAACTTAAGATTATAAAACTTCTAGAAGAAAAATGGAAGAAAATTTTTGTGACCTTGGGTTAGAGGACCCCAAAAGCACAATCCATAAAAGAAAAAAAAATTGGTAAATTGGACTTCATCAAAATTGAGAACTTCTGACATTTGAAAGTACTATGAAGAGAATGAAAAGACAAGGCAGAGAATATGTTTGCAAATCACATATCTGATAAAGGGCTTGTATCCAGAATATTAAAAAGGTCTTAAAACTTAATAGCAAAACCTCCAATTTTAAAAAATGGAAAAAAGATCTAAATGTATTTTACAAAAGAAGATATATGGAGGGTATATAAGCACATGAAAAGATGTTCAACATTGTTGGTTGTTAGGAAAATGCAAATTTAAACCACAGCAAGATACTGCTACATACCTATTAGAATGTCTAAAATTAGGAAGACTGATCATGCCAATTATTGATGAGGATGTGGAGGAGCTGGAACTCTCATACATGGTTGGTCAGAATGTAAAATGGTACAATCACTTTGGAAAAGTGTTGCAGTTTCTTAAAGAGTAGAACGTACACTTACCACATGACCCAGAAGGGGAGGAGCAGAAGGAAGGATTGCAAAGGGCACTGGAAAGCTTTGGGGGCTGAAGGGTTTATTCACTATCTTTACTGTGGTAATGGTTTCAACGTTGTATACATATGTAAAAACTCATCAAATTATGTGCGGTGGATCCTCCATATCTATGTGTTCTGTATCCATGAATGTGACTAACCACAGATGGAAGATATTTGGGGGAAAAAATGGATGGTTGGATCCATACCGAACACATACAGACCTTTTTTCCTTTTTGTTATTCCCTAAGCAACATAATATAACAACTATTTTCATATCATCTACATTGTATAGTAAGTAATCTAGATATGATTTAAAGTATATGGGTTCATGGTGGATGGCATTTTAAGTTTAAAAAAAGTATATGGAGGATGTGCTTAGGCTGTATGCAAATACGATACCATTTTATATAAGGAACTTGAGCATCCATGGTTTTGGTATCCCCAGGGGTCCTGGACTCAGGGATAAATGCACTTTAAATATATGCAGTTGATGGTATGTTGATTACACCTTGATTAGTTGTAAAATACGGTCATGCTTTTTGACTCAGGAATTGTTATCTTGA